CTCCTCGTGAGCTCATAATTTTTCTCTGTCCTGGATACAAATCAAAGACAACGAAGTTAAAATTAATCAACATATAAATAAAAACGCATTTTCTCAGGCTCAAAACTAAAATATATTAAATTTAAATTTCAAATTTATATAATTTTATATATATTTAATAATATTATTGAAACTGCATAGAATCATTATTTAAAATAAATAAACATTTCGAGTTCTAGCAACTATCAATTTCTATCATAATCTTACCTCCTTTATTACGCTCTTAATTTTAAACCCATCTTACAGTTCTTTAAAACTTAATTTCAAATGACAAAAAGCTTAAATAATTTTTTCAGATACTCAGTTAATGGAAAAAAAATCGACTTCATAATTGCGAAAAAATGTTTGACAAGCATGAAATGGGAGCATTTGAGTCCTACAGTTGGTTCTTTTTTGTGTAACGGATGGCGTCCATTTCACTTTTATAGGCTATTTCATCCATGGGGGAACACGGCATATGAAGCAATTTTCAATCCCTGTTGATCCCTCTCCTGAACCTTTTTCGATCCACTTTTTTTTTCAGTTTCTTGTGGTACTCCTTTCAGATGCGGTTACCACCATGCTCTTCAGAGCACTAAGTCTTCTACCATAGGGTTGCACATCGAAAAAATATCGCCAAAGATGTTTTGATGTTTGCTGAAAAAGAAAATAGTGCTCTTAAGAGAATGGGGTATATTGGATAGTAAAATGAATTGTAAATTGAAGAGCTTAGTTGATGAAGCTGGTAAGTAACATTTTCGAAGTTGTTTTTTAAGTAGGAAAACTTATATTAAGTGGTGGCCTCAATATGGGTATATTCGTAACAGAATAATTCTTGCTCTCATTTTAATTTTGACATAACTAATCCACATCAGTTGGATTGGATGATTTTTATTTCCAAGTAGGTAGTGGTAAATAAAATATGGCACAGACTTATTAGCCTTGCCTACTGTAATAAAATAATTCGGACACCACTTTTTTTTCTAACCCTGAGTAACTCTAAGAATGTCACTTACCGAGTTACTACTAAGCTCTTCAATTACATTTCTTTCTATTTCCAGCTTAATTTTAAATAATCTTAATAATAATAATTTAAATAATCTTAATAATAATAGATAAGCTTAATCTTAATAATTTTTTTACTAGAGAATTTTTTATTTATATTTGGAAAAAAGGTTATAAGTTTTTTTTTTTTAAAATTTGTTTTGACAGTTGGTTATATTTGCTGTTTGCTATGGATTTTCATAGTGTAATTTATAAATTATTTTACTTAAGTGTGTCTTTTTTTTTCATGAAAAGTTTACTGTTATTAATTTGTATATTTCAAAAGAATAAATTGCGTTTATAACGAATACAACGCGAAACAATTTCATAATGACTGATGAGTTACTGTTTGTAATTGTTTCTCAGCTAACCGTAGATTCCCGACTTCGTGGTTTTCCTTTTCGTCTAACATAATACGTATTTAAATGATATCAAAGAAGGGAAGTATGTCTCGATTACTGACTCAGAAGTTTATTATTTTTTTTTCTTGAGTTGAATAGCCAATTCATATACGATTTGTGGATATAAATATTAAATTTCGTACTGATATTAAGAACATAACCCAGAGTTCTTGGATCAAGCATTGAGACAAATCAGCTTTGTGTAGTTTTTCGGATTATTTAACAAGCATTTGAGTTGTTTGGAGTAGGAAACTACCCAAAACTTTCAAAGCTTGATACGACAGAATGACAAAGCTCCATATTTTATAGGACTGGAATTCCTTTCATTTCTGAATAAGAAACAGTGACGGCTGAAAGTCACACATTTATTTGCATATGTATCGACTTCGTAACGCCTGCAATTTATAAACTAAAGTATTTAACAAAACAGTCGTGTTGGCACCTGTGATTGGCTTTTAGAATTTACTTTTGTCACGAGCGACCCAAGTTCAAAGCCTGGCAGTGGCTATTTGCTTAACACGTTTACGCCGGGAAAAGTGATAATACTGGTACGGGAAAAAAGAAAATACTGGTATACTATTTCAATATTAGATAATATTCGGGAGGAGTTAATCTATTCTCAACAATAACAATTCACTGTAAGGAAATTTATCACGGCGAAGAAGCAATTCAATATAAAAATTGAATCCGTAAAAGACAATTGGTAGTAATGGATTTTTATTATTCCCGGAAAAAAACTAAAAACCAGTTTTTACTCCGGTGCGCTGCCAAGATGAGACAATCTAGCGTGACCTACCGGTGGGTCACCCCGGCGTGAACGTGTTAATGCTTTCGGCATATAGTGTTGACGCTACATATAAACACCTCAAATTTTAGCTGAAGATTTAATTTTTATATTTAATATGGTAGAAAAGTTTCGACTTCTTGCTTGATTTTTTAAAAAAAATATTTTAAGTAAATATTAACTACCAATACATTTGATTAGATTAGCCTGATAGTTACATAATCGCGACTAATATCATGATTTGATCTGCATATTGCAGCACGCTACCCAGCCTCCAACTGTCTTGATTTCCCCCTACTTATCTATGCAAAAAGTACCAGTTGCCATTGGGCAGAAATTCAGATTAAGAGGTTTGGTGCCCGTTTAAGAGGGCAGGTACCTTATCAAATACAGATCATCGTCAGCGTACATAATCGCGACAGATTCAGCAACCGCACAGACCACTGATCTCCCAATGTTGAAACAAACTTTAAAACAAATTTATGACGTATATGATATGGGCCGTTCCGCGGCCCAAGTGCCTAGTCCCAGAGCACTACTACGACTATGACCTTATTCAGGGATGCCACAAGTGACAAAAAATGCAAAATGTGTGCACAAATTCAAATTATTTTTATTTATTTATTATAGCTTAAATTACTAAATTGTAACTGCTACTATGAGTTACATTAGAAATTTTTCATATGTAAACCAAAAACATTCTTTGCATTCGTTTTCAATGGTAATCTGAAAGAAAATATGCCATAAGAAGTCGCTAATTTTCACAACTTTTAATTAAACTTTGAGTCTTAATAGTCACCACTTTTTGGTAGTTTTAGTCTCCTGGGGCAACCCAGCTTATTGCGAAAGATTTTATTTTTATATTTAATGTGGAAGCAAAATTTGTGCATTCACACATGATTAAATGTGATTTTAAATGATTTTGACTATTATTACATTTAAAAATTTGAAACATATATATATAGCAGGCTTGTTGGTTCTCCAAAATGTGTTTAAGTGTTGACAAAATATTAATGAAACAGCAGTTTAGTGTCTCAACAGAAATTGCTTTTTCTTACCACTAGGAATATTTTTCGCCGACCTAGCTGTGTAGGGGTCAGGGAACTAGCCTTGCATCAGAAAGGTTCTGGGTTCGAATCCTGGACAAGGTATGGATGTTATTTCCTTCTTTGTGCTATCTGTCATTACTGTGGGAGTAATGTTGGCCCACCTAATATGGTGACCCTGAAAAAGTGGCAAACAAATCTGTTCTAATTCACCTGAATTGGCGAACTTTTCTGATGTCAACCTAAGGGGACATTGGAAAAAAGAAACTATTTTGAAAAGAGAAAGGTAAGTCAGTGTACGAACGTGTTGCATACCTGTCAATTATAATATTCTTACGGAGGATTTTCTCCTGTGGTAGTAAAACAAAAATTGAATAACAAATTAAGGCAGAAAATATTTTTATTATGTAAGAGCTTAAACACACTATCGAGTAATTATCTTACACTTGAACATATGTATAATTTATTTTTATACGAAGTGGAGATTAAAATAACCTTTAAGCAATTTATATGCAGTTGTGGTTTGAATGGGTTTAAACCAAAAAAATTATATATTCAAGAGCTATCTGGAAAGAATAAATTTTACTACAACTCTGAATATTTAAATAAAATTTTACGCAAAATGTGTAAAAGTTGGCAGCTATGATGATGGTAAAATGTGAATTGAATGTCTGCTTCCAATGTTACATTGATTAACACTTGACTACCAATACAAAAGCACTTATTTGAAGAGCACAATAGTTCTTAGGTATGAGTTGGACGAACTATGCCTTAAAATCCCGTTTGCTTAATTAATGAAGTTAACTGGGAAGTATACTTTCCACTAACTTCTTAATTTTTTAAATATCAATGGGCTAGTTCCTCTCTATCGCTATTCTTTTGATTTGTGCAAGAAGTGAGGCACACACTGGACTAACATTTTCTCTAGTAAGATGTGCTTTCGTTTATTTGATCATGATATTCGTTTATTTGATTAGAAAAACAGAATTAATAAATTCAGTTATTTATACACACATAAAATCAAATTTATGGCCGATTCTTCCCAAATTTTGAAAATTTTTCCTACCTATAAACCCNGTTAGACACTTTTACAATGTTATATTTGTTATCCAGTTTCGAGCAAAATGAATATTTTTTTAAAGGAATGCTTTTTATGTAGCTGCCGTAAAGTTTATATTGCTTTCTAGCAAGAATAATAAATATAAAAAAAATTCCATCTATTTATAAGTAAATTTTAGAGTGTTCATTTTATCTAAATACGAAAAAAAATTCCGCATCATTTAAATTTACTAGTTAAATTTTCCATTAATGAAGCGCATTTTACTGGTGTTGCCCTCTATGAGAAAATAATTTAATTACAGAGTTTATTGTTCAACTTTTTTCTATGATAACGATTAAGGAGTCGGAAGAATAACTTTTAGTGTTTAAATACTATGAAAATTAAAATACTATACTAATTTTGATTACGAATATTAAATTACACAATTATCAGTGCTGCCCTCTGTGAAAAAATAATTTAATTAAAGTGATTATCTCTAAAAAAACATATTGCAAAACTTTTTTCTGTAATAATGATTAAGGTGTCAAAAGAATACCTCTTATCTTTTAAATTATTAAATGCTAAAAAAAATGCCATACTAGTTCTATTACGAATTTTAAATTACACATTCTTATAAGGTTTTAAAGCACAAATAACAACTATAATAGTACACATCACATAATATTTATTGAACTAAACACTGATGCCATCTAATGAACAAAAATCAATTTTTGCAAGCATTATCAATTCAAATATATTAACAGTATTCAGATATTGTTCGTTTATATAGTCAATTAAGGGAAATGGATACTTTGTAGGAAAAAATATTTCCTTTTTCAACGCCTTTTCAAAGTCAGTAACTATACTTACTGTGTTCAGGTTTAAGCACGATTCATAAAAATCATAAACTGTGTTAATTTCTTCGATTTCTGGGAGTTCGTCTGTTCTTCGTATAGTTTTTAGTCCTTTTTCTAGAGAAATATGATTGTTCACAATATTCCTTAGGACACGAGTCATGGATGACGAGGTTAATCTTTCGATGCTTTCGTCAGACACTTTTTTGAGAACATTACATGACGTGTGTCGTTTGAACAGTTCATTAAACTTGACGGTGTTGTATTTTAAATTAATATAATTACAAATCACTGTGTCGCGCACTTGACCGAGTTGTGACCATTGCACTGAATCTATTTCGACAGTAGATCTATAAATTCGACCGCTTCGGCACTGATACTCATGAGATAATGTGAAATATTTATCTTCTTGCATTTGGACGTAGTAGGTATCTCTTTCATCTCGATCTGAAGCATCCAATTTCATGTTAATATCAACAACATCAAATACCGACATCGGAGGCACATATGTTTTGCTCAACACATTAAACTGGGCTATTTCTAGAGTAACACCATCTTTGGAGGGATAATACATCTCACGGTGAAGTTTATTGGTTCTTATATGGATCTTTACTTTCCTCTTGTAAGCATTCAAAGTCAGAAACAGATGGTTGCCAAGAGGATATACATGTTCTGGGATACTGTCTCTCTGAAATTTTCCATTTTTATGTCCAACGTACTTGCATTCCTGTAATATTAAAACGTTTTTGAGTTCTTGACCAAATAGAGGCTAAAATTTTAGTAATAACACTGAAATGAAGTATATTTGAAAATTAAATATTAAAATTATAAACTGGAAAAATATCAAAATTAAATAAAAATAAAACTTTTATTTAAATTTAATCATTCTATATTATAAAAAGAAAAAAGAATACAAAATACATAATATAATTAAATACATAATATTTATAAAACCGTCATTATTAAAATTAAATAAAAAATTAAAAAATAAAATTAAAAAGGAATAATTAAAAAGAAATAGTAAAACCTATTAACTAAATAAATTTAAAAAGCATTAACACGAAAATTAAATAAAAATTAAAAATAAAATATTATAATTAAGGAAATGGAAAAATAATTTTTGAAATTAAAATTTTAATTATATATTTAAATAATAAATTTTAAGATAAATAATTTTAATAATAATTATTTACTTTAATAATAAAATACAATTAAAATAAATAATAACATTGAAAAGAATAAAATAGCTTTATTTTTAAATCTAATATTACAATAAAATAAACATTACTATAAAATATACTTACATCGTTTTCATCATATTTTCGCTTCATTGCCGTATTTTCTGAACTTTCAACTCCAGCCATTATGAAATATATTCTCAGACTTCGATGGATACTATTTGAAGTTTAAAGCATACGTTCTTATAAATGTTTCGTGACTTCGAAATGGTTATATATGTATAAAATTTCTGAGTCCTGTTGCCAACTTTTTTGAATGAAATATAAACAGCCAATGAATAAATCTAAAAGAAGCAAACTACTAGTTCAACTCCAAACTGCACATGTTTCGAAGTGCATTCTTTGGAAAAACACGATCAGTCTGCTAGTTCCTTGTTCAAACCTGATCAGAACGGAAGGAGGGGGGTGGGTCATGTTCAAAACCTGTTAGATCTTGTTCAGGGTTTCATATCATTCCTCTAAAACTTATTAAGAGACTAATTAAATGTGCTTTGTTTATCCCTACGTGTAATAGAGACTCCCTTTTCCTAAATTTGCATATAATAAACAAAACAAAAACTTACTTAAAAGAGAATTTTGGAAAAATATTGTTATTATATTTATTACGTTAATAAAACAGCAAGCTCGTTTCAATTATTTTGATCAAAGATGAGTTTCAATGATATTATCACTAAAATTTCTCTCCAGATAACTTTTTCATAAATTTGTATTTAATTAACAAAAAAAAACTTAAGAGAACTTTGGAAAAATATTTCTTTGATATTTATTACGTTAATAAAATAGCATACGATTTACATTTATTTCGTTCAAAGATGAAACGTATTTATGTGATTAGTACGTTTTACAATTATTTCGTTCAAAGATGAAACGAATTTATGCGGCAGGTGCGCGATGCAATTATTTTCGATCAAATATGCGTTTAGACAATATTCGTTTATTATCATAGAAATTATTAAGAGTCTTAAACTCTCAGATTCTTCCATCTCTTCCGAAAGAAACACCAATGAATATTATTTTTAATATTATAATATGCAATGAATAAAGTAGTAAATGTGCGTATTTAATTAAAAATACAATTTTAACTAAAAAAAAAAAGAACTTAAATACATTTATTTTACTAAAAAATAATTAAAAACATTTATTTCACTAAAAAAGGCAATAAATTAAAATAATATAGTTAAAAATAGACAAATATTTATTTAAAGGAACATCCCGAAAATCAGATTTAATTAGCAATCAGGTTTTACGCGCTAAGTAGTATAAGGGAAAACTTTGGCTTTCCGGAGTGACGTCACTTCCGGAAGCCAAAGTGCCCCTTATACTACTGTTGACGCTACATATAAACACCTCAAATTTTAGTGGAAGATTTAATTTTTATATTTAATATCGTTGCAAAATTTCGACTTCTTACTTGATTTTTAAAAAAGAAAATATTTTAAATAAATGTTAACTACCAATAAATTTGATTAGTATAAACATACTCAAAGCAAACCTGATACAGTAAAACTTGTATAAGTTGACCACTTGTGGTGCATTGTTTTAGTGGTCAACTTAGACAAGTGGCCAACTTATAGAGGGGGTGGGTCATTGTTTTCTTTTTCGCTGCTATAATTTTTTTTTTTTACTTGACTTAAAAATTTTATTCAGAAAATATGCAAATGAATATCTTAAGAAATGTGTTTAAACCTGAATGAACTTCAATTTGATACATATAATTCTAATATTTAACTAATTTTTAAAAAAAAAATTATTTCGTTAGTTATGCATGTGAAGTGCTTAATAAATATAATTTCTTAAAATATCAGAACACGAAAACATGTAATTTGAAAACTTTAACAAAATAAAATTATTTCAACACTTTAAAATTTATTTACTACCCTTAAAGATCAAAGACCATAAATAAAGAATCAAAGCATATTTCAGAGCGTTCATTTATTCAGATACTCACTATTGCGACTGGAAGAGCAACTTTTCAACTAACACACCTGTTTTCAATGAACGGATGAAAGAAATGGTCAAAAGCTGACCCCTTACAGTTTCCCCTGATTGTCAACTCACAAAAGGGTTTATATTAGCTTTTTACACTATTTCACCAAACAAGTGAAATTTTGACACACATTGCCAAAATGACAGAAAATTTTCTGAATTTTTTTTTCTGGTCAACTTATGAGGGTTTTAGAATAGAATTCCATAATACTCCTAGACAAAATTGACTTATTTCAGTGGTCAACATACAAGATAGACAGGTGGTCAAGTTACAAAGGTTTTGCTTCTTTGTATTATATAGGAAAAAATCCGTTCTTGATAATTGAGGTCAACTTTTGCAGGTGCCCAACTTATAAGGGTGGTCAACTTGGCAGGTTTCACTGTAGTTACATAATCGTGGGGGCCTCCCTGGCCGAGCGGTATCGCCCGCCAAACGCTTTGTTAAGCGTGGAGGTGGCGGGTTCGAATCCCACAGTTACCCTGGATGTATTCTTTGTGATGTTCTTCTCTGTATTGTGCTATCTGCTCCTCTACTTGACAAAGGTATATAAGCCTAAATTGAGCACACAAGCCTGCAAATGTATGTTGTACCAATAAAATAAATGAAGAAAAATACATAATCGCGACTAATATCATGATTTGATCTGCATATTGCAGCAAGATACCCAGCCACCAACTGAATTGATTTCCCTCTACTTGTCTATGCCAAAGGTACTAGTTGCCCTAGGGCAAAAATTTAGATTAAGAGGTTTGGGTGCCCGCTTACGCGGGTAGGTACCTTATCGACTACAGATCTTCGTGGTCGTATATAATCGCGACATATCCAGCAACCATATAGACAACTGATTTCCTAAAGTTGAAACAAACTTTAAAACAAATTCATGACGTATGGGATGGGGGCCGTTCCGCGGCCCAGATGCCTAGTCCCAGAACACTACTACGACTATGACCTTATTCAAGGATGCCGCAAGCGACTAAGAATGTAAAAAGTGGAAAAAATTCAATTTATTTTTGTTTATTTATTATAGCTTTAATTACTCAATTGTAACTGCTACTATGAGTTACAGTATAAATTACCAAAAACATTCTTTGCATTCACTTTCAATAGTAATCTGAAAGAAAATATGGTATAAAAAGTCGCGAATTTCCATCACTTTTAGTTAAACTTTGAGCCTTAGTAGCCACTTTTCACATTCACTTTTTAGCAGTTTTAGTATCCTAGAGCAACCCAACTTATTGCGGAAGATTTTATTTTTATATTAATGTGGAAGCAAAATTTGTGCATTCACACATGATTATATGTGATTTTAAATGATTTTCACTATTCTGTATACATTTATCTTATACATTATAAATTTGAAACATATATATAGTTGGTTCTCGAAAATGTGTCTCAACTGAAATGGATTTCTCTTACCACTAGAAAATTTTTTTTGCCGACCTAGCTGGGACCTAGTAGGGGTCAGGGGACTGTCCTTGCATCAGAAAGGTTCTGGGTTCGAATACTGGACAAGACATGGATGTAATTTCCTTCTTTGTACTATCTGTCCTTACTGTGGGAGCAACGTTGGCCCACCTAATATGGTGCCCCTGAAAGAGTGGCCAACAAATCTGCCCTAATTCGCCTGAATTGACGAATGTCAACCTATGGGGGCATTGGAAAAAAGAAATTTTTTTAAAAAGAGAAAAGTACGTCATTGTACGTAAGTGTTGCGTACCTGTCAATTTATAATATTCTTAAGGAGGATTTTCTCCTGTGGTAGTAAAATGAAAATTGAATAACAAATTAAGGCAGAAAATATTTTTATTATGTAAGAGCTTAAACACACTATCGAGTAATTATCTTACACTGGAATGTATGTATAATTTTTTTTAAAATGAAGTGGAGATTAAAATGACTTTAAACAATTTATATGCAGTGTGGTTTGAATGGGTTTAAATCAAAAATTTATGAATTCAAGAGCTCAATTTTACTGCAACTCTGAATATTTAAATAAAATTTTAAGCAAAATGTGTAAAAGTTGGCAGCTATGGTGAGGGCAAAATGCGAATTGAATGTCTGCTTCCAATGTTGCATTGATTGACACGTGACTACCAATACAAAAGCACTTATTTGAAGGGCACAAAAGTTCTTAGGTATGAGTTGGATGAACTATGCCTTAAAATCCCAATTGCTTAATTAATGTGTGAATTAATGAAGTTAAGTGGGAAATATACTTAAACTTCTTAATTTTTTAAATATGAATGGGCTAGTTCCTCTATATCGCTATTCTTTTGATTTGTGTAAGAAGTGAGGCAAACACTGGACTAACATTTTCTATAGTAACATGTGCTTTTGTTCATTTGATCATTTCTCTTCGAGTTTATTTGTAGTTAGAAAAACAGAATTAATAAATTCAGTTATTTATACACACATAAAATCAAATTTATGGCCGATTCTTCACAAATTTTGAAAATTTTACCTACCTATAAACCCCAAAAAACGGTCTTAAAGATCATATTAATCTTAGTTAATGAGCTAAAGAATTTTTTTTTTATAAATCAATCTCAATTCAAAAATATTTTAACAAAACATTACTTGAAAAAAAACCTTATAAAGACTTAATCTAATTGCAACTAATTTAATTTTTTGATCTTCTCGAACTTTTCAGCACACATGAATTCTAGAAGGGATTAACGGAGAGAGACTTTTGTTGTTTTCATCTTTAAATAACACTTATATTAAATACACTTAAGAAATTTTCCATAAAGAATTTTTCTTAAAACATTACTTTGTATAAAATCGAAATAAAAAAATACAACGTTGGTAAATATTATTTATTTATGTGTTCCATACACTGTTCTTTTAGGGTAATAAAATAAAAAAAATGCAGTTCGTTATTACGTATTTCGTTTAAGTGAAAATTTTGTATCTATTAGAATCTACGGAGAGTTTTAAACATTATCTTTCATTACAGTTTTCATCCTATAATATAATGTAGGCATCAGTGTGATATATAGCATTAACAATAACAAATGCACAAATTCAATCACCAAAATTAAATTTCGAATTAGTGAATCAAACAAACGTAAGAACTACTATTTTATTTCGATTCCTTTCAAAATCATTTTAAATGTTTTCGAGTCAGAAAAGGTGTGGAATGTTTGTTTACGACGCATCGCCGCCTGTAATTTTCCGATGAGATGATCAAACAGACACCTTTTGTTAGAATCTAATTAAAACGGTTTGTGTTTTAAGAGTTTTCAAAAGGAATAGGGGGTGTTTGTTTATTCCATGATAATAATTTTCGCACAGTAGTGCCGTTTGATAAAAAATTAGCCAATTAGTAATCTGTCTATAGATGATACATCAATTTTAGCTATTCAGCATCATTCATTATCAAGTAATTCCTTAAAAATTTTAAAGCTTGAAAGGTGAAATTATTGTGTTTGTATAAAATTCTTAGTAGACGTTAATGAGTAGGGGGGGACACATATTTACTATATCATTTTTAATAATAATAATAATGTAACTAATTGCTTTTTTTTCTCATGGATGAATTGTTAATTGAAGAGTTGCTGAAGGAAGAATATGACTTCATTTTAAGATGTTTGCTAATTACTTGTTTAATCCTTTCTGTGATATTGAAATATAGAAGTTTCAATTTATTTAAAAACAACCGAAAAAGTTGAGTTATAATTTGTATATTTTTGAAAAAA